TCGATAGTATCTGAGCCAAGAGCTGTATTAATTTATCAGCATGAGAGACGGGTGCAGGATTTTGGGTTAGGGCGCACAAATATTGCCGCACTGCAATATTATACGTGTGAGTTTTAGTAGAAGGTAGTGTACCCTCTGAATCCGCCCTGAATGGTTTGAAGTCATCTCGCATTACTCAAAATTGTGTTCTTGCATGTGGAGTCATACTAGTTGCTATCTCTTCCACGATTCGACCGGAATGGGTCACATGTTCTGATGTCGGTCGATTACAATATACTCGACTGTCACGGTACCTTTCCCTGGGGATTGCCTTTGTGAAGGACATGTGCTATATAACAGTACGTTACTCCTTGGGTATGGGACCGGTAAATGAAGTAAATCTACTTAGACCTTTCCCGCCCGGGGGTCCGACTTGTGGAAATACATGGAATCCATGTCTGTGAAAGGGGTTTTCAAAATGACCCTAAACACGTTTTAAAAGGTCAAAATTTCGTACCATTTTCACTGTTAGAAAGCTAAAATACATACCATAAATGCGTTGAGTGTTTTAAAATCTATTTACCTCGAACTCGCGCCTGATCTCGCGATATTTGAGCTTTCTAACCCTTCAGTGTAAGCACGGGTTGGTCATATGCCGTGATCACCCGTGATCGAGGGTCGTTAACCAGGGGGGGGGGACGTTTTCTTCGTTTTTGCGATCATTGAATTCCTTAAAGCAATAAAAACGATAATCTCATTTAAAAAAATAACCACCCTTATCACGTTGGCAGTACCGGAAAAGACACCGTTTTTGTCTATTTTGACTGAAATGGTAACCCTAAACGCGTAACGCGCGTTAACGTGCTTTTCTTTAAAAAAACACCCTTTTAACGCGTTTTCTTTCACAGACATGCGTACCAGATCATTCTTTAAGTCGGACCCCCGGGCTTTAACATTGGCAGTGTATCGATGACTAAACTACGCTTTAAAATCATCAAAAGGGATTCCCAATATTGTAACAAAAATATGGATGTGATTTATTTTTCTCTGTCTCCTCCGAACCAGCAATTAGGAAACAACTACTGAAATATCGTACTTGTACAACAAACATAAACATCACAGTATATACTAGCTAGGGGATATTTTCATGAGCGCATAGTAGTAAAAATGTGTAGAAACGATTGTTTCACCACAAACACATGTACAGTAAAATATACAATCTGCAAGGCATGCTGGGAAAATGCTAAGGTCTCTGCCTGTTATCTGTATCATGCTGTCACTCGTTTTCGGCACGCGTTTTTCCAAAAACACATTCTTCTCACAACCAACTTCTAAATGCACAAATAACCCAACAAGATGAATATATACGAAGGATAATACTTCCTTCCCCTTTCTGTCAATATATTATTACTTTGGAATTTATAGTTCACTGTGCTTTTTAGATGGTTTTGTTTCTAATGCATTGCCCTTTGACTATTCATGAAAGGTATTGGACATTGGTTCTTATGTTTGTACAATCTAAGGTGACAAATTGGTTAAAATTCGGCATTTTCTTAAAGCGCGGTGGTCGTCGCGCAGCGCGTGTTCGAATTTCTTGTAAATAAACAATGTATTTTACATGCGTTGTGTACGTCGCTATGAGTCCCATATCGAACAAGACGCGGCGCGACAACCACCACTCTTTGAACGTAATCGTCACTCGTGATTTTAGGATGGCATGTTAAAGTATTAAGAATTTAACAATACAGAATAATTTCTAGCTTGCATATATTGAAAGAATAGGAGAAAACACCAAAAATCTAGTTTGGTCGTCGCGCAGCGCGTGCTCGAATTTCAAGTAAACAAAAATATATTTTATACGCGTTGTATACGTCGCTATGAGTCCCATATCGAACAGGACGCGGCACGACGACCACCTCCCATTAAGCACTCTCCCTTCGTGCTGTTAAGTTTCAAATGTAACATCACATATTCAAACACTGTTGTATCAATCGTGTACACTTTGTTTGTAAAGTGAATTAGTATTGATTGGCTAGTGTGTGTTCCCATGGTTACCGCAGCATATCGTATCGAGTTACTATTGGCAATATGAATAAATGTAAGTCTACATTGTATATTTCAAAAACTCAATTCGTTGCAACGCGTGGTGTTTGATATGGGTTCCACGCAACACACACGACGCGTGTAAAATAAAAAATGTTAAAAAAAATTCAAAATCAAGATATTATTTATTTATTATTGCTGCAAAATTATAACTAGTGTTGTTTCCATAGAAACCGTTAAGACCGATTTATGTTTACCGCTCAGTGTTTTATGCTGCCCTCAACAGCAATTCTGGTTCGTATTTTGCAACGGATTGCCAGCAACCCTTCTGGTGTAAACAAGATGTATTGCACGAATTATGAATAAAATGCATACACTCGTTTAGGTCATGGTTTGATATTAATCATATCGCTTTCGGCAATTACGAAAAAAGTCACACGAACACGGCTTAAAAGGACCGCGCTGCAAATCGAGTCTAAATTTTTTAGTAACAAATAAATCGGACCTGTCATGCATGTTTTTTTGTAAAGTACATGTTATTTTTTAATACACCTATCAGGTGTAGAGGGCGTTGCTTTTTGCTTATGACGCAACGCGCGTTATTATATATCACCTGAGCAAACATGTAGTTATCGCCGTTCCAGAATGCATCTCGTAATGACTCTCGCATAGACATATCGAGAGAGACGCCTGTATCTGGGATGTAAGAAACTGAGATGGTTTTAAAACAAATGGAAATTTAAACAAAATGATTAAGTTTTTTGCTGATAACTTACCGTTCATACAAAAAATCGATTTGAATTATGAGGTTGAACAAGTTGAACAATGTCAAATACCGTCGAGTCAGACAGACACAGTTACGTTGTTTCACTTTGAATGAAGTCATGTGGTCGGTGGGGTGGTGTGGGGTGCGGTTTGCAGCAATGGGTGAAGTAACAACTGAAATGTTTTTCATTTCATTATATTTAATTTAATTTTATTTTATTTTATTTTATTTTATTTTATTTTATTTTATTTTATTTTATTTTATTTTATTTTATTTAATTTAATTTAATTTAATTTAATTTTATTTAATTTTATTTTATTTTATTTTATTTTATTTTATTTTATTTTATTTTATTTTATTTTATTTTATTTTATTTTATTTACAATTGCTTATTTTCAAGGTAGCAGGAACCCAAAACACCAATATGCTTGTGGGGATTGCACATTATTATCACCAAAAAGTTCAAATACTATACTAGTCTAGTAAAAGGTTTTCTGGCTGTATTGATTGTTGTTGTATTTTCTAATGACGTCACAGTATCTACCCAAGATACTCCTCGGCGGTATACATGTAATGGTCTTGCTATGAGTGCATTGCCCTTGTTGTTGCTATTGGTTACAGACAGATAAATCTCCATCGTCTTTTTCTCACATTCTTGATGGTTCCAAAGATAAACAATTACATTCTCTCTGCCTCATTAACGACTCGTCGCCGTTAAACCCCCGCAAATACAACGTTTCCGGTGACCTGCCCCATCACTGTAACCTATAAAAGGTCATCTATGGGACAGTGTCTCTATTAAACGATAAAGTTTTGCTGCAGAATAATAGATCAACAAGTCCGTCACCCTTTCAATAAATTGCGCCTTCTAGTGACGAAGCGCTTAGATGACGTGAAAATAACATCGATGTGTGAAAACAAGGCCGTTTAATTATATAACACTGATTGGATGTGAAGTCGTTTTTTTTTAATTTTAATTATGGCGAATTTCTTAAAACTTGCGGACGACAAAACCATTATCGACGCCGTTGAAAGGCCCTCCTCTCACGCATAAACGACTTTCCCGGAAGTAGCGAGACTGGGGTGCAAAAATACTCCTGCTTTGTCATGGATGGAAAAACAAACATGTCAGTTTTCTTATAATCGATAGAATAGAATTTTATTTTTGTGACGTCAATTGGTACAGACAGAAGCACAATATTACGCGTGCAAGTTACACCCCAAAACGGCATGCGCGCGCATGTGAAACGCCTTCTTCGACTTCCGGGAAAGTCGTCACAGCTTACTAATAATATAAAAAATACGGGCTACACACCTCATCGTATCTGTCTAGTACCATTATGGTGATTTGTAATCAACCATGGTTTTTACTGCAATTCACTATTTTGTTATCGTAGTTTAGGTTATGAAGCAATTACCCTGTATCGTGTTGCCGGGAACTGGATCACTGCCCTCTAGGCAGTGTACGTGGCGTGCGTGCAGAATTAGACAAGGCTATCAGCTGATAGATAAGCGCTTATGACAGGAGTGCGTGTGTGAATACAGTTAACCGTGAAGTAACACGGGAAATTTTACCTAAAGTTTAGGTTTGGGTTAGCATAATTTAGGATTGATAAAATTCCTTGTTCGATATGGGACCCATAGCGTCGTATACAACGCGTGTAAAATACATTGTTCGCTTACGTTTAAATTCGAGCACGCGCTGCGCGACGACCGCCGCCCTTTAGTATTCTCGAGCGTAGTCTCAGTCACGCGGAGACACATGTAGGCACAGTCCCTCAATCCAGAACACAAAAATATTCGTAGCTGGTAGGCTGAAGCTTGTTTTCCCAACTGTGGGAAATGGTAAATTCGTGTATTGTTCGTACAGCGAATATTCTTGAAATAGTCTACGCTATATACAATTGTTAATTTTGACGGTGGCAAGTATGCCTCAGATGGCCATGAGAATCGCAGTACCGTCCCACAGAGGGCGTGCTGTTAAAAACGAAAGAATACTTGCCTTGTGTCGTAGTTGTCATATCTTTAGAATTTGTATACGTTGTCTTAATAAGTTTTTATGTTTTAACGAGACAGTTTAATTTATAAATATTCGTGATAACCTGATCTAACAAGATGCAATTTCCAAATCTTTCAATCGAGGCGTCGTCAGTTATATTGTCCATACTCCTAACAGTAAGACTGTATTACACAATTTTTGTTTTTATTTCAGACCTGTCCCGGATTAATCATGGCAGAGTCAACGATGCTAGCTGGATACGACTATAATGAAGAAGACGATTCGTTGGTCCTTGGAATCCAGGTGGTGTCTGGAATCACGCTCGCAGTCGTTATGTTCGCACTAGGATGTACTATGCAGCTTAAAACAGCGCGGGAACGGTTAAAGAAGCCGATTGGACTAGTGATTGGGGCCATGTCACAGTTCGCGCTGATGGCCTTGCTGGGTTTCGCCTGTGTCCATATATTTGAATTGAGAGAGAATACAGCGATAGGGGGCGTGGTGTTGGCATCGTGTCCTGGTGTGTTTGTGTCGATTTTATTCACTATGTGGATGCGAGGAGATATAATACTTAGGTAAGTGCAAACCACGCCCTCTTTCGGCAACTGATGGGGCGGAAAAAATACTCTGGCGGGCGAGAATGTGTGTAAACTAATCACAAGACATTATAACAATAACAATAAATTTGAGTATTATTGAGCCTCAAGTTTAAAAATAAATCGATTAATGCGTTTAATATGTTGGTTTGGTAACAAACATTGCTGCAATATTCTCTTGATGAAATACGACAAAGCTAGTGCGCGTTCGCTTCGAATAGACCATTTTCCGTTCACTGCGAGAATCACGCGTTATGCTCGAAATCGAACGTAAAAGCAGGACAAACAAAGGTCATAGCGTCGTAGTGGCGTCAAACGTCGCGTGGGATTCGATAAACGCGAAAGTATTTTGGGGGCATTTCCGTGCTTAATAATGTGCTGTACACATTTGATGATAGACAATTTCGATTAAGTGAGGGTATTCGAAAGCAATATTCCTCTGTCGAATATCGGCCGGTCGATGTGAGCTACGAAATAAAAAAATTCTAGTTCGAAATCAAATCGTTCGATTTTTTGCAGCAGACGTTCGACGCGCGTCTCGCGAGATCACGCAGTACTGTTCACATCAAAAACAATATTTAAAAAATGCTCGAAAATACCCAAAATTATTGCCTATTTAAATATCAACTATCAAATACTAATATACGTCTAGTAACATATCATGTATTCAGTACAAGTTGTGGCAAATTGTATACCTGGGCCATGTTTAAATCAAATACAAACTTTGATGTCTTGTATATAAAAGCACACCACCGTGACACACTATTGTTTTAATAATTATTATTCATAAACGAGTTGTATGCAAAATTGTATAAAATAATATAACTTTTAATATTTAAATAATTCATTTGACGCCCCAAATTGATGGGCTGAGATTTCAAAAACGAGTTCACATGCGACGGTAAGCACTTTTCTCAGGAATGGATATCCTTTCCTAATCCGGAGATATTCTTCCTATTAATAGCCATTGTAGTGCATTATTTTTGACAAATGTCACAAAATATTCTAGGTGTAGACAAATTATGTAATTTGGCAATTATAGAGTAAACAGCACTGACGCTTGATCCCTATATGTTCATAGAAAATACCAAATTTGGAAGATACTTTGTCCTTTGTTCTACCTGGAATTTGACAAAGTGTGAGCATAATTATTCATACGTTGTATTATGCAATTCAACATTGGAATTACTTGGATTAATATGTAACTGTTATGAGTACAATGGAAACAAAGCCAGGCACGGTGTACCCATAGCAACATTATCAATAACAGTCAATAAATTCCTCTCCCATTACATAAAGCCTGCCCTCAACTAATTTTCCGCAAAGTTCCACCCTTCACAAAGAACACATTTTTCGACAGAGAGCATTGTTGATTGCTATCGATACACCACAAAAGTGAAGGTACGAGGTAGTGATGTGGGTGAGACAAATAATCCCGGGTAGTAGTAAAATTTGTCAATGGGTATGCAAGGCACCCAAGGGGTCCATAAACTTTGAATCATGTTTCAAAATGACTAAGGAGTTGCTTTTTGACATTTTCAATGGTCAAGGGGTCCTTTTATGACATTTTCAGGAATCAAAGGGGTCGTATTTCTGCTGTGTTGATACATAGTTCTTTTAAAGGGTCTGTGTTTGATGTAATGTATGTTAGATGTTAAAGCGGGGAGTCGTCACCTGCACATGCGTCAGATGGCCATAGCGTGTCATTGTTTATAAACAAGCGTCTACCCATGAGCCTTTGCGTTTTCAGCGTGTGTTGTCATCATCGCTTGGGACTCAATTCCCGCGCAGGTGACGACCCTCCCGCTTTAATGACGGGACCAATTTACCTTGATTTTGAATTAGTGAATATACATTAAAAGGTGTTTCTTGTAAATTTATTTCAAGGGTGTGGTCCTGGGTTTTTGAGGAATCTGGAAATCCAGGAACGTGAAATTCACCAAAAGTTGGTGCCTCACATTCTCGTATATAGATAATCCAAGCGAGGGCCCAGGGCAGATAGGACGAATGCGACTTATATGTAGCTTAGGACCCTGATACAAAACGACGGCCCGGGAACAGCGCGGTGACTGTGGTGCTTCATATTTACGCTTATTTTAAATTCTTACTGTTTATTACATATTTATATATTTTCAGTGTTTGCATGACTGCCATCCTCTCCGTTCTGGCCGCGGTGTTTACGCCATTGAACATATTTATATATACACGCACGTGGAGTGGGCCAACTTCGTTCATAAATTATGGCTACATAGTTGCAGTTATCGTCGCCATGCTCGTCCCAGCGGCTCTGGGCGCCCTCATGAGGTGGTTTGTGGGAGAAAAAATGGAAATTGTTGCCAAGGTAAGTTGTATACTAATTTTAAGCATTGTTTTGATATGTGTGTATATGGGCCGGTGGTCTAGGAAAGCAATAAATACTTATTACTTACTAATTTTAACTGTTTTAACTAATTTTAACGACGTGCGTGTGTGCGTGCGTGCATGCATGCATTTCAGACAGATAAATTTATACATTTCCGATTTGTAAACATATTTATATTTAAGTACATCTACCGTCATAATGACAATCAGATAATAAAAATGGCCGCCGAGACTCAGACTCTTCCGTCATCGCGTCCAAATACCATGGTTACATATATAAATTAGGGGAACAGTGGATGCAATAACAGGAGAGGCTGGTACAATGCGAGGGGCAACAACAGGTCTCGCGGCTCACTCGCTCTCAATGAGATCTCGGCGGCCACTTTCGTCTTAAGGTCCTTTCTCAAGGAAATATATTGTTTTACAGAAACACTGCCAGTAACAATTTTGCGGTATTTTACAGGGTATTTTCATCCTACCATATAAATAAATGCGAATTCCAAACATGGAAAGATTACGCGCGTAAGCGTCCTCTAATAATAAAAACAAACATGGCTGCCATCAAGGTTTGACCGGACTCCACACAAAGAAGTTCGCTGATTCTGTTCTAAACTTTTTGGATTTGGGCATTCCCATGATGTATCCTTGGAAGGAAAAGATGTATAATAATAAGGTTATTACGAGAATACCTCAAAGTATGCACTCAGACAGTACACCGTCGCATCGACCTCCGCTGCGCGTAGGTCGATATTCCAGCTGTACTGTCTCCGTGCATACTTTGAGGTATCCACGTAATAACCTCGTATTATTTAATGCCGTTTAGCAGTGCATGGACACATTGGGTTATAATTCAATTGCACGTACCTACACAAACAGCACGCTTGCGCAACAAATGATCGAACGAGTTTTCACTTGTGTGCTGCAGTGGAAAAACATTTCACGAACAATTATAATCCAGTGTGTTGACCACAAAAAGACGCAATACGCGCAATGTATAAGTCTCATGGGACCCATATCAAACACGGCGCTGCGCGACGTGTGGCGCTGTATAACAGATTGCTGATATGTGTGTGACGTTATTTCTAACATAATAATTTACATGCTTTTTCAGATATTATTTCCAATCTCGATCCTCCTCTCCATCATCATATTGATACTAGCTGTGATCGCAGACCCAAACCTATACTTGGATGACTGGCGTCCGTGGATAATGGCGTGGCTGTATCCGCTGTTCGCGCTCATCGTCGGCTACCTTGCCGGATTTACGGCTTGCTTAACTCATCCTCAATGCCGAACCATTTCCATAGAAACCGCGTGTCAGAACGTCGCCCTAAGCATCGCCATCATCAGCATCACTTTTCCGAAAGAGCGAGTGCTGCCCATTTTAGTAGTCCCAGTTTTGTACGACATTTTTTTGTACTTGAACTGTTTCCTGTTTCTCGGTCTTTATCGTTGCTGTGTTCAATTCCGCGCGCCCAAGTCGGAAGACGTGCGTCAGATTGTTTCTGCGCCGGCCTCGACGATGGGATCGATTTCTACTTTCCACACTGGCGTCACAGCACCGGGTTCCATCACCACAGTACTTCCACCAGGTTCGTATGTAAATAACGCACTGGATTTGCATAATTCGTTCAACAAGTCGTTCGCGCCAGTTGTGTCCTTTGATCCTGATACATTCGACATCGGGGATAAATATGGCCACCAATCGGTCCAAACACCACATCCAGATGAAGGCGGTTTCGAAGAGGCTGGATTTCGAGTTTTAACACCTAAAAAATACCACCCTTACCAAGATCCAGAAAGAAACACCGAATCGGAAGCCTACCCGGACCTTCATGATATGGGAACCGGGGGTCAGCCTCCATATACTGGACACGACGACACTGAAGGACGCTACCCGCCCCCCATAAGAGAATCCACTCCAGCTCGAGCGCAAGATAACATATATGAAAAAAACCCACACGAGGCCACGGGGTATGCAAACTATGGGCTGGACTCGGAAGTTCCCCCCGCAAGGCCGCCACCACCAGTTACGATCTATACACCACCTTCGGACTCTGCGCGGCAACGGTATCCAGGCCGAGGTCCTCCTGATGACAGAACCGGTGCTCATTATTACGAGCCCGTTGAGGATTACCCCAAACACAAGGTAACCCTTGATCCGCGAAGGGATATTCACTCTAATGACTATAGAAAGTACACCCCTGATGAACGGGATGCCCCAGATGTGTCTGGTCACTATAACAACCAAGATGTGCATCCAAACGGCGATCTTGCAAATGAAGTGACTGAATCGGAGGTTTAGAATGTAACGAATTTGATGTGATGCGAATGTAAGGTTCAAAATGTAATGAATTCGATTCAAATCGGGGGGGGGGGGTTCAAAATATAAATCGAGCGTTTAAACTTACAACTGCACATAACATCGGAGATGAATGCCTTCGTTGGTTTGCCCTAACACGTCACAAGATAAACACTTAACAAACCATTACCGCCCGATGTGCACCACTCTGTGGGTGCTCCTTGTTTTGCACTGCTGATGCAGTGTACTGATTAATACTAACCTTGTATCAGTCGGTCTAATATAATATTATTTAGTCAACTCGATAATTGTCACGGGAGATACTAGTATTGTACAGACACTGGGAATAGTGAGCTCCTACACGCGGGGGAAGTTGGTTTATGACATGGACACAACCAGTGATACACATACAACAGATACATATGTAATTCCAATATATCTGACTTGTTTAAATAGGTTGCTAAAAGTATGTATCTGTTTTAGTATCAGGTGGGGTTATTTCGCGAATTGGTAACATATATTTTTTGCTAGTGGTTCATACTTTTATTCGGTTAAAATTATTAATTCTGGAAGTAAAATGTGTTTTCAAAAATTCTATTTAATTAAGGTTGTTTCAATCCCATAATCCTCAGCGATATAACAATATACCACTTTCCCGGAAGTCGATGCCGTTTTGGGGTGTAACATAAAATTGCACGCGTTATATTGTGCTTCTGGGTGTTTCAATCGACGTCACAAAAATAAAATTCGCTTCTATCGACTATCAGAAAACTGACATGTTTGTATTTTACGCTATGACAGAGCAGACGTATTTTTGCACCCCAGTTTTTTCACTTCCGGGAAAGTGGCTTACGGCTCCAGAGGGCGCTGACGTACAATCTATGCAGGCACACTGCAGCTGGTTTCAAGTCAAGTTTCAAGTCAACAAAAGTATCACGTTATAACGGGGTAATTTGAACTCTTGATTGTTTATTATGAATTGGTTTAAATCATTGTCTATTTTATTTAATTATTCTACTACATATGTGACAACATTGTGTTATTTACTGTCTAACGATGGTTTTGATAAAATTGAACCATAATTCACCATGGTAGCATAAACGACATCGCTACATATATGACCGCTATCGTCGCCATTGTAGTGCAGTCGTTACCGCTATGACGTAGACGTAGAAGTCATCGTCAAAATAACACAAACCCCCACCGCCAAAATATCGCAGACGACATTAATCAAAGTGTTCACTGCCGTCTCCCGCCTTTTAGATACATTTTGAATAAAAAAGTACAGGATTTTTTTTATTTTTGCAGAAACTGTAAATAATTAATATTCGAATCCTTGAAAGATAAAGCTCTAGAAAATTAGCAAAATCATAGAAAATGGCGGGAACATTTATTTTAGTCAGAATAATAGAATATGACGTAGTTGTCGTAATTTGACCAAAGAGCAGTGTTCTAATTTTGTATATTTAAACTCAATGTTATTTTTTAATGGGGAGCATTAGGTATAGTTAAATGCAAACATATTTGTTTTCAACCTGCTTCACTCCGCGCATTCATCACATACATGAATATGCATTACCTTTTTTGGCATGTTTTGGTCACGTTCTCAAATACTAACCTGTGATTGGCGGAATAGTCAACAGGTCTCACCGTGTATTTGAGATCTTTTAAATTTGTACACCAAATATTTCGTGATTTTTTTATACCTCGTGCTGAAAGGATTTTGTATTTTAAATATTAATAATAAATCTAATTTGTTGCTAATAATATTGTTTATATTTTTCTAACAATGTCTTGCTTGTAAATACGCTTCATACAAAATGTAATTGATTTGCTAGTGGATAATATATAGAAATACGTACATATATTCTTTGCATCTAGAGGGCGCGCGCCAGAGTAGACTTATTTATAGTTCGTGTTTTTTCTTCTCTCGTTTGAAAGATTCGGTAGCCATTTTGTTTTCGATGGCATAGAAGAAGCAAACTTCTAATGAATTATTTTCACAGTCGTAGTGACCTTTATAGAATGTTCAATTACAGCCAGTGTTTTTAAAATACTGATCGTATTTAAAATCCTCTGATCAACAACTGTAGACAATGTCATATTTCAAAAATTATCGATGTGCGTGTCGAAAACGAGACAACATTTTCTAGTTTTAAAGCGCGGTGGTCGTCGTGCAGCGCGTGTTCGAATTTCATGTAAATAAACAATGTATTTTACACGCGTTGTATACATCGCTATGAGTCCCATATCGAACAGGACGCGGCACGACGACTGCCGCCCTTTAACCATTACGGCTTTAACATGTATTATTTTCATAAAGGTGACTACAGTCACTGAGCTCGTTTTCATAGAAATAACGTATTTACGTTTGCATGTTGATGTAATGTCCAGATACCAATGAAGTGACGTCATCATATTCGTCGAGGTTTTATTTGCTGTATCCACTTAAACACATTACACGCGCTTATCGGAAATGACGTCATTGTATCATCTGTATGTGTACATTTCTCATATATCCAATCACCGTCTTGAGAACATATTGCACGTCTGGCTCAATTGTATTGTTTACAAATAGTTCTAATTTGCTTACTGATTATATTTTAGAGTACCTATGCTATATGAATACATGTACAACGTTAATAAGCAGAATATTATCATTAATAAATACATGGGATACTAATACTGTGTGTTTTTGAGTATGAGTCGTTTGAATGGCAGTATTCTGGTTTTTTGTAGACTGCTGAGTTCGTTGTAACAGAGATTACGTGACTAAACTATCCAATCAACGTATTGATAATTTTGGACACAACTGTTTTGTGATTAGTATTCATGTAATAATTCCCTAGAGGAGGAGAGAGTGGGGGGGGGGCAATCGAAATGTATGCTTGTTGTTAATTATTAATTTTTGGAATTAATTTCACAAATTTTGTTTTGCTTGATGTTGTTGATGCTGTCCCTCGTAACCAGAATAGACGATGATTGGAAAAAAAATTCTAAACTTCCAGAGAGCAACAACATCTGAGGTGACAAACACGAGAACTAATATTCCACGGCATCGACTTCAGTTTCAGTTCAGGTCGAATTAAACAACATTTTCTAACATTGTTCCTGTTTTAATTATGGGTTATTGTCATTAGTGGCACACAAACAATGAAAACAAATCACTGGACAATTTTTCATGGAACAAGAGTCCGAAATGTCATGGAAAATAATCAAAACGAAAGAAAAAAATAATTATTCATATGAATCCTGATAGTTTTGAAAGATTTAAAATTACACCTAATTTCATAACTTTCCAGTGTGACTGTAGTTTTCTAGTATATACAATAGGACGTCATCTCCCATAATGCATTGCATATATGCTGAGTAACATGTTAGTGCAATGTGTGTATCCGGCTCAAATGTCTTAACTTTATATTGGCGGCCTCGTTATTTGGCGCCCTCTAGCATCAACAAACAAAAAATAACTGAAATCTGATCACAAGAGGGGAGTATGAACTTGGCTAATTACTAAGATATGTGTAAACCAGATTGTATACACAGTATATTGAGTATGTTTTACTTTTACTTAATAGAATACATTTTAAATGTTTATCCTGTCTACGAAAAGCACATACTACTCTAACTCAGACGCTAATGAATCCACTATAGAGTAATCCGACGAGCGCTTCTCGAAAGTACGCCCTCATACGCCGCCGCCATTACTGGGGGGGGGGGGCATATACCACTCGCAGTCATGGCGTCCCATAACAAATTACGTAAAAATAATAATATTTATTAATAACATGCGAACTCGTACTATTGCCACCACTACAAACTCAACTACAAACATTTAATACGTATTTCCAACGATTATTTCCATGGATATTTGGAATGACATGTTAGAGACTGGCTAAGTGCGCTG